GGAGAGGAGGCGCGAGAATCATTCTTCGCTCTCAAAGCCGCGCTATTATCTGCGAAGGTCTTGCGAATCTACGACCCGCTCGTGCCTACGCTTGTCACTACGGATGCGTCAGGCTATGGCATTGGTGCAGTCCTCGAACAACATGATGGTGTGGACTAGCACCCGGTCGAGTACTTCAGCAAGAAAGTGCCCCTCGTGCATTCCATTGACGATGCACGCAAGAAGGAGCTCCTCGTCTTCGTCCGCGCGCTCAAGCGGTGGCAGCACTTCCTCCTTGGTCGAAGCCAATTTCGCTGGGTAACGGACAACAATCCGTTGGTCTTCTACAAGACCCAAGACACCGTCAACAGCACCATCGCTCGATGGATGGCTTTCATCGACCAGTTCGACTTCTTTAACGATCATATTCCCGAGAAGTTGAACCGTTTTGCGGATGCTCTTTCACGGCGTCCGGATCACTGTAGCGCGGTCTACTCAACCTTCGAGATCGACGACGACCTGCGGAACAGCTTCATCCGCGGCTACCAAGACGACCCCGATTTTCGCGACAAGTACGCGAATTGCTCCTCTCCTAATCTGGCTCCTTCTCACTACCAGATCCAAGAGGGGTACTTGCTTGTCCACATGCGGGGGAAGGACGTTCTTTGCGTACCGAGTGATCCTCACTTGCGTACACGGCTTCTTGGCGAGTTCCACGACGCTCCCGCCACTGGACATTTTGGAGTCAATCGCACGATTGGCCGACTTCGCCAGCGATTTTGGTGGCCCAGCCTTCTCGACAACGTCACACGCTATTGCGAGTCATATGAGGTTTGCCGACGCTGCAAATCCCCCAACCATCGGCCGTACGGCGACTTACGACCATTGCCAGTCCCGTTGCGGAGAAGAGATGGTGGACTGAGAAGAAGAAGAAGAAGAACTCTCTCTCTCTCTCTGTTACGAAACAAGTACTAACCTGTGATGTTGGCGCTGTGCTGCAGGTACCTCGAAGACGAAGCTGGAGCAACAACACTGCAGGTAGGTACCTCTGGCCTCCGCCCAAGCTCTCTCTCTCTCTCTCTCTCTCTCTAGTACTACCTAGCTATGGCGCCCAGCGCTGGAGACTACAGCTACCTACTGCGCCCAGCGCTGAAGACTACTAGCTAACGCTACCACTACTACAACGCAGCGCTCCCTCCAGAGTGCTGCACCGGAATCCAGAAGACTACAACTGCCGAACTGCCTACCCGTGAAGTGCCTGGGAAGTCCCTTAGTACTTCCTCGGCCTGCCTCCTGACTGCAGGAGGGCGAGCAGGCCGAGCAGGCAGCTCTTGCCAATGCCGAAGTGTGCCAGGGGCTGGCATGCAGCAGCCTGCTTGAGGCAGGTGGGAAGAGTCTAAATATAGGCTGTTCCCAAAACCCTGGTTCGGTGCCTGAGTTTCAGGGCCGGTCGTTCCGATGAACGACCGAAAATGGCCCTTGGGTTCAGGCTAAAAATGCTATTACCATTTTTAGTCTGAACCGTCGCAGGGGCTGTAGGCCCTGAAAGTCAGGCTTTCGGCCTGAACCGAAATGGGGCCTGTAAGCCCTGAATTTCAGGCTTTCGGCCTGAAATCCAAGGTTTTGGCCTGAATCCAGTCGGGGCTGCAAAATGGCCCGTGTGTGCACGCGCTGCATGTAACACCCCCCCCTCCTTGTGAAGTCAAGCCAGGGCGAGGGCGAAGCCGTCCGTCTGAAGGTGGAACCTGGACGCGGGCGCGGCATGGAGCCGAAGAGCGCACGCAGTTCCGCACGGAGCCGAAGGGCGTGGACACTTGCCTTGCATCTTGCGTTCGTAGCGTGCGAGAACGTCTGGAGCTGTGGCTTGCAGTTCCGCACGGGTCAACCAACGATCAGCTCGATGAGCGCAGTAAGCAAAATGCACCAGATACTCAGTTGGCTTGTTGCCCTAGCGTCGCTGGGAGATGATGTCGCCGACCTCCTGAAAACCATCCATAGAAGGTGGATCTTGCGTACGTCTCCCGGGAAAATCATCATGTTCCGCAGGCGTGTACAGAGCCAATTTGGAACAATGAAAGACTAGGTAGACGGGCAAGTGGCTAGGCACCTAAATCGTGAAGGAAGGCCCCTCAGGTGCGTCCCCAGCGGGCTCGATGATCGGCCAAGGCCCYATCCATTTCGGAAGGAGCTTGCGAGAGATGTTCTGTTCAAGGCTGAATTCCGCTGCTGAAACCCAGACAAGGTCTCCGGCGCGGAATGGACAAGGAAGACGCTGGCTATTTGCCTGTTGGCGCATGCGCTGTTGCGTCTTAGCCATCTGGTCGCGTGCCTCGACAAGAAGCTCTTGCATCCGCAGCAAGAAAAGAAGATGGTCGTCGCTCTCGGCCGTGCGTGGAGTAATAGTGTCCAACGGTGATGTGACCGGCGAGCCATGCTCGAACTCGAAGGGCGATATCCCAATAGCCGGGTGGATGGAAGAGTTGTAGGCCAACTCAACTGGCCATCGGTCTGAGGGTGGCGAGCTGAACTGGGCTTGAGAGATGAGCCCCATCACTTGATCAGCGCCAACCAAAAATCGGACATGAACCGAGTGTCGCGGTCGCAGACGATCTCCTTGGGGTAACCCTTGGTGCAAATCCAACCGGCGACCAGAACCTCGGCCAACTCCGGTGCCTTGGCATGATAGCGACAAGACAAAAACATGGCGAACTTTGTGAGTCGGTCGACCACCGTGAGAATCCCATCCACTCCGGTCTTGTGCTTGGGGAACGGGCCAGTAATGTCCATGGCAATCGCTTCTCTCCCTCTCACTTCTGACTTCACTGCATCTGCAGACTATGAGAGGAGATACAAAGCTGGGTGACATTTGATCCAGACTCGACTTTCGGGTATTCAGACATGGCAACGAGGGACTATTTGGGATTGGTGAGCAAGACTTGGTGTTAACGACATTCCCATCTTCTTCCCTCCTTTCGTCTGTTCCTTATCTCTTCGTCTGTGTATGTCTGGACCTGGCGCTCTCTTCCTGTGTACAGCGCCAGGCTCCTTCACACTTCGTGATGGATACAATGCATGTTTAGTCTGAGTTCAAACATTGATTGGGCTAGTTAGAGGTACTCTAGCATTCTGATTCGTTACTCTGAACTACGTGAATGAGGTCAGTCCTGTCAGGTCAGTCTTGTATCAAAGTCTTCCCTGCGCTCTTCAGCATCTTTATGTATGAATGAGAATGTACATTGCTTGTCGAGATTCTACTCATACCGCATTGTCTATTCAGTCCTTT